AAAGTTCAAAGACCAAATGTGTTTTTACCTATATATCTCAAATAATCTATGATGGTACAAAAAAGTCAGCCAAATATAAGACATTATGATTGAACAAAAAAGAAATGAAACAAAGAGTTGAGAGGAAATAACACTTAACCTTGGCCTTATCAAATACGTGCGGATGATTTGTGAGAAACAAAACTGCCCACATTGCAGTATAAGCTGAAGTTTCATGGCCTGCAAATAACTTACCAAAAATCAAGTCTATTATGCTCTCATCATCTAACTCTTCACCATCTGCATCTTTCAAATCTATAAGCAAATCCATCATATCTTTGGCCTCCCAATTTTCCCCTTTCATTTTCTTCACCAATCTCTTTTCATTGATGACTGATTGTAGTATTTTTGACAAGTGTCTTCGAGCCTATATTTATATATAATATACATAGTGTCATCGGTCAAGTTACTAAATAAAAGATAAAGTTAAAAGGGAAAGTTTAATTAATCCACGAAGTTTTCAAATCCTGTCTAATAGATTATTGAACTTTAAAAACTGTGTAATAACGTCTTTGAACTTTTTTGTGTTCATTAGATCCTTGACTAGTAACATGACCTAATGATATATAATGACTACTAACATGCAGTCAATAACATGTGGCTGCACACGACGCCCACACCTATAATACATCATATTCTAGCATGTAGTGGAAAATTCTAATTCCTCTCCTAAAGATTTCTCTTCAGCTCTCACAAGATATCAAGTCCAATCAATCTTTTATTAGCCTCATTTTAACATTCACCGATGAAAAGGGTATAATTGATCGTTAAATGTGAGTGGCTTACCTGGACTGATTTATAGAAGGGGAAGCCAGGAAAGTTGATGGGGAAAGACATAAACCCTAATGGAACATCATAAAACAGAGCCTCCATTTCTTCAATAGAAGAGTCTATGGTGGTTGAACCCATGAAAATGTTCCAAATGACTTTGAAAGTTAGCTTTTTTATCTCTGTCAACAGTTCTATTGGCCTCTGCATACTGGCCCACTCCTCCAACCCACCCACCACTGTCTCTTCGATATGGCTGATGTACATCTCCAGCGCCGCGTGGCCGCTGATCCGTGCTGTCATCAGTCGCCGGAGCCGTCGGTGCTCTGCCTTCGAAACTTGCATCAATGACTTTCTACCCGATAACAATCTTATGTTTACGGGTAAACTAGGGACGAATTTTTCTTCATCTCCTAAAACTTGACGGTAGAGTTCAGGCGTGCACACGATTACACTTGCTCTTCCAAGTATGCGAGTCTTGTACATATCAGCTTTTCCATATCTATGAAAAATATTAATCAATAAGAAAATGACGGGTTTGAACACAGAATCTCGTACTCGGAGACTACCACTAAAATCTAAAAACTTAAATTGATGAGTTATGATATATTTAATGTTTTTATATTGTAATTGTGAACAATGTTCTCAAAGAACTACAACTCTGTTAATAATCAGAGCCTAGCTCAATTTATTAAGATATATAATCCTAGATTAAAAAGTTTTGGAACTGGTTCGAATCTAGATGCGACATGTTGTTGAACCAAGAAAAGGAAAGAAAAACAAACTCCGATCACCAAGTGTCAAGAATATTTTAGAAAGTATTTTATTATTTTCAATCAATTGAATATGGATGAGAAAGACCGGTTGGAAAAGGTACGAATGAAATTTTGAGGTCGAGCATTACTGAATCCTTGACGAGAGATAGAGTAGAACCGAAGAGAGGCCAGCTCATGTCACCGGGAGGAAGCTGGGCCCATATTTTCCCCAGCTTGGCCCCATAGTACCAACCATTCAATCTATTCAAAACTCCGAAAACAAAAACAAAGGCTCCAAGAATCAATACCAACCAACTCTTGAACTCCATTGTTGATTTCTTCAGCTTGATTTGATCCCTTTGGTCTAGAACTAATAGAAGTCTCTATTGATATTGTGGTGGCACACTCATCTTTTGACCAAAAATGGAAGCTTTATTTGAAAGTTGTTCAATGGTGGAGGAACATTGTGGTCAAAATCAAGACTATTAAATACTTGGGGGAAGAAGAGAGGAATTTAGGAATGAGGTGTGGAAGGGATGAAAATTGTGGAAGCTATTTTGAAATCATTCATTTAAGACCTTCTCAAAGAGAGATGAAATTCGTAATATTTTATGTTGCCATCCTTCCCTTCCCTCTTTGTCTGTTAGTCGCAGAATTTTTCTAAAAAAAGATTGGGTAATAAATGAAAAAGTAAATTGAATTTATTTATATTTTCACCATCTTTTAAAATTTGACGGTTCATTTAAAAAAAAAATCTCTACCTTTTTATTTATCTGTCTATCTTATTTATCCAAAATTTAATGGTAAAAAGCAGAAGAGACAGGTGAGAACATGAGCATTTTTTTTAAAGAGAAAATTTTAAAGTGTTAGGTCTCAAATCAGAAGTAGCGTCACAATGTGATATATTGTCTCTTATAAATATTGATGTATATTTGAAATTTGAATAACGTTTAATATTTGAAATACACTTTATAATTTCCCTCTCATACATTGAAATGTGTAAAAAAATAATATCAGCTACATTATTCTGGCCTCCTATCAAACTTTTCATATGGTTCGTTCTTCTTGTTCAAGAATTTGGGATTGAGGGTTTAAAAATGACAAAAACCAACCACAAAAATAATGGTTAAAAAATCGAACTTCTTGATGCAATAGTTCTGTGAGTTATTAAATATATTTTTACTATCCATCAAATTCCACGTCTCTCTAAATGTTACAGTAACAAGGGTCTTTTAAGTCTTCATAAACCACACGACATCGATTTCGAAAAATTAGAAGAAAAAGAAATTATCCATTCAATTCGACATAGCTACAAAATCAAATAGCTAAAAAAATGTCCAAACTTAATACTTGTACACTCAAATCTCATTTATCTGATAAAAAGGAACATCCAACCAAAATAGAGTAACTAGTACCTTAAACAATGGACAAGTTGATCAACACTATTTTTGCTTGCTTTGAAGTTGGTTACGATTGCTTTATTTTAGGCATTTAGTGTGGAATCTGCCAAGATATTTATTTACGTGGCAGATTTTGTGGGGATTGGAGCTGAGATCTTCTATAACTCACAAAAAAATAAATCCTAATTTAAATTTCTCCGTTGGAATTATAACTACAAGTAAGTCCCAAAACATAAATATCTCCAAACCAACAATATCATATATTTAGTCAAAGTGAAATAGGTGTCTTAACCGCGAGCTATACTAAGTTTGACACATATATATATATTTCAACTGATTATATATATATATTAATTGCACATCACAATTAACATATGAATAAGCAATTAATTTTTTGAGTAAGTTAGCCATTGTGAGATGGAGGGTTGAAAATATGAATAAGTAATTAATTTTACCATGATCTATAGCTTGAGCTTATATCATTGAGAGAAACCTCAGTCCAAGCCTTCTCCAACTTGAACTTTATATCACCGAATCGAGGGAAACTTTTGGGTGGGTGGTAAAACTAACGAGAATTTACTCAAGAAATAATTCACGGTTTGAGTTGGCTTAGATTGACTAGTTTAGTTTGTCAACAATATTCTATGATTTTTAAAAATATTTTAAAAAATAAAACTATTTTTTTAAATATAACACTTCCCAAACTAATTTTAAAAAGAATGCATTTTTTTCCCTGATAGGTACGACCTCTTTACCTAGAAACACATATTATCTCTTGAAGATACTTATTTCTTCTTCGCTTTTTCTTCCCAATATTTCGAAGGAGAAGTCAATTCCCAATTTAAAAAAGAAAAAAAAAAGAAAATCAGGATTTTAATGTGACTTCTAAACTAGCCTTCTCCATTTCTTCAACGACAGAAAGTACACATCACATAAAAACCCAAAAATAGAAGCAGTAGAGGAAATACTAGTAAATGGCTAGTAGATTAGCAGCTGATTCCGATTATATATAGTTCCTTTTGGCACAACAGGGTAAGTGGTCAACTCGAGATAATTTTCTCTCTGAATAACTTCATACCAAGATACTTGCCAAAACAAATCGACAAAAACATTCAAGCATTCAGATAACCACAAATACACTGACTGTCCAAGCATCAAAAGAGGGGACTCAAAAATCTTGATACAGTGATATGGTATTAGAGCCCAGCAAACTCAAACAAGCATTCGGTCAAAAAATTAAATCCAACTAAAATAAATGAATAGAAAAGAGCTACCATCTTAAGAAAGCATGTTAAGGATTCCACGTCAAAGAGATCAAAGAACCTAACAAGATTTATACCATATATAAAATACTCATCTAGTTGTCAATTGATTTTGATAAATCTCATGAATCTTCATATTTATGTTGGGTAAATATATACTGTATATATAAACTATATAATACTGACAAACAAATTGCAACGTAATTGGCTCTAAACAATTACAGAATTTGACAACTCGATGAACACCAAAACTTAATAAATTGAGTCGAGGCAGACCTCAAGACAAATATTTGCTCTGCACAAATTGCTGACAAACAATAGGAGTCATCTCAGTAGGAGACAAAACTCCTAGTAGAACACTAACTTCAAACTACTCAGAATTCTTGTGGGAGGAAGAGAAACTCAAATGAGATATTTGGATGTATCTCAAATGAAAAAAACAACTCCCCTCGCACAAAAAAATAAGTATCTTTTAACACATATGTAAATTTTTTATATATGTGTCAAGGCTAGTATAACTCAACAGTAATTAACATATATTTCAATAAAGAGGTTGTGAGTTCGATTCCCTACCTCCTCATGTTGTAAAAAAAAAAATTATATACGTAACTTTAACAAAATACGTAAACAATATTTCATTTAAAGACATAATTTCAAGTTTAATAACATAAAGAAAAAAGAAACTACTAAAGAAATAAATAAAAGATTGATAAACATAAAATAACATTCCCAACGTACCCGTGAATAAATTTCTTTAAATTTCACTTTCTTTCCCACATTAAAATCTAACCATTTATTATTAAGATTTGATTCATCGATCCATATATACACACGATATAGCGCAATATATATCAAATATTAGAAGCTTAATTTAATAATCCAAGGTTTATCTTGTTAAGGCAAGCTAGGAAGAGTGAGAGGCATTTGTAGACATTTCATGCCACTTTGAGCACTTGTGCCAAGCATTTGTCTTTGGGATGAGGGATTGGTAAGTAATTCAATTTGCATTTTGGATTAATTCGTTCCACCCTGCATTACAAAATTCATATATTTATGGTTATATTACGAAAGAAATCTCTCATTTAATTCTAAAAAGTTTTAGCAAACTCACTTGTAATGGAGGAGAAAATAGTGAAGAAAAATTGAGATCTCGAGCTTGGCAAGATCTCTCCCTGGGCACAACCTGTTTCCTAATCCAAAGGGAGTGAAAGCTCCGGGTTGGGCTTTAAAATTCTATTACAAAAACAAAGCAAAAAAATATCATGAATACCATTATAAAGACAAATATATATATACCTATATATGTTAAAAGGACAACGTGCGTACCCAATACCCCTAAGTATCTCTAGGATAGTATAATATTGTTCGCTCGGACATAACTCTCACGACTTTACTTTTGGTATCACCCAAAAGGTCTCATATCAATGAAAATAATTGTCATCATTTATATATCATGAATCATTCCTTGTTTAGCCAACGTGGGACTTTGTTTAAATTTTTTCTCATTGTTCGAAAGGTAAAACCAAAATTCCTATATCAAAGGTATCCATAAACCGAGAAAGATGATATCTCCAATAATATGGCACGTTTGATAGAATTTTTTTAAAAATCATGTTAGTTTAAGATTTATAGTGAATAATAATATCCCAAGTTCATTGTTCTAACATATTGAGCTGCATATTAAATTTTATTTACGAAATTTAATAAATAGGAAAAGTTTATATAACCAATATAGAAGAGAGAGAGGAATGATATTGCAAGAACATATTTAAATAATCATAGACATTTGATTTTGAAATTATGTTAAATCATCTCATTGATTCTTTAGTCTAATTTAGTTGTAATTATATATAGAAATATGAATAATTGCTTACATCCCATCTTGAAGGATTGAACTCTTGTGGGGAAGGATGTAGTTTTTCATCCATGTAAAACTCCCTAAGCCAAGGTAGGACTTTCCATCCTTTTGGTATAATTTTACCTAAAAAACAAAGGAAACCACATGTTATTAGAAATCCCTCAATAAGCCCAACATTAAGAAAATTATTTTGGTTCTCTCATGGGATGCAAGTAATTTGAAACTTTTTATGATGAAGATACAAGGTTAAGAAAATGAATAACTAACCGTTAATTTCAACATCGACTATTGCTTCACGAAAAAGAACAAATGTCATACAAGTAAGACGAAGCGTCTCATTTATCACCTGAATATTACATATATATATGAAATCTCATCATCACATCAATCAACAGGGTCTTAAAAGTCTATTTTGTCAACTTATAACTAGTTATTTAAACCTGCATTTGATAATAATTTTATCTTTACTATAGTAACAAAGTTTATCAATTTGTATGTTTGGTTTTGTGATAATAGAGATTGTAAAAATATTTTTGAAATACTAACCAAATTTTAAAATAAAAATAATAGTAATCAAGCAACTCTTTATATTACTCTCTAAAAATAAAAAATAAAATAAATTGTGATCTAACCTAACTGCAAATCATCACTGTATTTAAGATCATTGTAGGGATAATGGAACCATAACAAGAAATTCCAACGAAGAAAATGATTATTTTTCCTATAAATATTAGAACCTTTTGTTTAGATTTTGTTTATTTGTTCTTGCACGTCAAAGTGACGGCTGAATATGTAGGTGCACGAATTTTCAAAGGGCAACGACTATAATATTTAGCAGAGTTTAAGTGGCGAGATCCTGGGGTTGTAGAGCATTGTCGACAACCTATTTTCGTGGGTATTTAGTGAGGTTTTTCATTTTTGTTTTGTAAGATTCTATTGTTATAGTTCTTAGAAGTCAGGTGGCTTTTCTCGAGGTTTTTAGATTTAAGAAATTATTGTATTTACCTATTGTACTATCTCAAAATCATAGTAAAACACGTTGTCACGGAAAACTGGACGTAGCCCATAGTTAGAGTGAACTAGTATAAATCTCTTGTGTCGTTTATATATTGCGCTTTCCCTATATTTCTATTATTGTGTGATTGACTTGGTTTTCACCGAAGAACAGGTAAAATATTCTTGGTAATTGATTTTTCCAACCATCATTAAATTCTAAAGTTAATATTTTTACTAATATCATTTAATTTAATCCTTAGTTTTAAACTAGAAATGAAACTAAAACAAAAGCTTCTGAGTTAGAACATATAAATCGCAATTTAAATATATACCTGAGAAAGAAATTTCATTTCTTTAAACTCTGACAGATTTACTCCCTTCTGTGTTGAGGGTCTTCGTCTAATGATCTCCTCTTGTTCTTCCTAAAACAAATGAATATAAAAAGATTGAGCATTGAAATAATAAAAACTAGTTTACCATTTATTTTGTTGTAATACCTTATTCTTTAAAGGGATTGACATTAAGTATAATTCAAATGGATAAAATATTTTAATATGGTTCCAATAACGATTTAAATTTCAAAGTGGATTCGTTCGAATAGATAAGGTACCTTAATATTATCACAAATGTAATGGTTGAGTCTCTGACACGTAACCAATGTTAAACTCAAAGAGAGAGAGAAGAAAAAAGGAAAAAAAAAATACTCAAAATCCATACGTATTTATACGTTTAATGTTGTTCAACCTGCACACAAAATAATTTTTTAAAACAGAAAATAGGAAAAAAAATCATTAATTAATGAGGATAGGTAAATTATTTTAATTTATAAATTTTATTCGACAAGTAAATAGTAATTGCTTGCTGATAATGTATTAGTTTGGTTTTTACATTTCAAACATACTATATAAATTTCTAATTAAAAAAAGCTATAGTTATTTGAAAACATTTTTAGTTCCTTGTTTTTAAAACAAGAGAACATGGTTAAAGTTGTTTTAGTTTTGTGTTTAATATGTTCTTGACCTATTCTTTATTTTTTTAAATTCTTGGACGTAATTTTGTGCCAAATGAGTTCATAAATGTAAAAAACGACTAATAAGTCAAGAGACCTATTAAACAAGGGTTTAAAGTATAAGTGGGTTATTCCTCTCATTGTCAATTGGTTTTGAGATGAAACCCGTGAATATTAATATGATATCAGAGCCCAAAAAATCTCAACAACGATCTTTAGGGGGGCATATTAGATCCCTTATCGAAAACCTAATAAAGGTTTATACTATAACTAGACTACTCCTCTCATTGTCAATTGATTTTGAGATTGAACCCCATGAATATTAATAACTATAAACTCGATTTGGATTAACTCTAGATCAAACACCCTTTGTACATGAAATTTAATGTGTAGCAACAAGAAAGGAAAAGAAAAAAAAAAGGAAAAAATATATTTGGTAGAGACGAAGAAATGCAATTATTTATCAAGTTAGGAAACAAAGCTGACCTTGGCTTTTTGGAATATATGTGGATGATCTGTTAGAAACAAAACTGCCCACATTGCAGTGTCAGCTGAAGTCTCATGGCCTGCAAATAACTTACCAAAAATCAAATCTATAATGGTCTCATCATCTAGCTCTTCACCATCTTCATCTCTAACTTCTATCATCAAATCCATCATATCTTTTGCTTCCCAATTTTTCCCATTGTTTTTCTTCACAAATCTCTTCTTGCTCACAATAGATTGAAGTATTTCGAGCAATCTTTTTCGAGCCTATATATTTGTAGGTTTCTTGTGATTAATATGTGATACAATAACACCAATAACTGATTGCTAAAATATAGCATAATAATAATAGTCTAATGTCGCAAAATTATAAACGGCATAGCTCAAAAAAGTAATGGTAAATATGACAAGGAAAGAAAAAACACGCCCATTAATTATAAAGTTGCTGGACATGACTTTTAGTCTTTGAAATTTGAGTTTGGTCTATCTATAAGTCTATAAGGTTTCAAAAGAGTCCCTGGAGTTGGGAAATGGTGATATGAGCCAAGATGCTTTAGTCTTACTCCCAAGACCAATCACTCGTTCAAGGACCAAACAGTTACAGTTAACGTTGGATTATTATCATATCCAAAGAGTAGTGAGTTCCACTAATCGACATCATGAGGGTAAAGATGGAAAGAAACTTCATTCATTGTGTCAAATGAAGACACAAGAAGAAGATGGAGAAACTTTCTATTAATAAATCTTATTATTTTAAAATTATTTTTTCTCTTATTTTAGGCTTTTATATTTTCAGTTAGTGACGTGGCATTGAATTATTAATTTTAAGTGTTTATTTTTAAATTTAACTATGTCACTTTAATTGGGAGTAGTATAGTCTTTTAGTTTTCTTTTGAGATCAATGATTTGATCTCGTGAAATGAATAATCAATTTTTATGGAATAAATTTGAGTGTTTTAGCGTGATGACTAAGGATCTATCAATTTTGCAATTCTTGATCTAGGTTACAAGCTCGGAACACATTCAAGCTAGGTTTTGATCAACCTTCTTATGGAGTGTTCAACCTGGAGCAGGGAACCAGTTCTCCTTACCTCTTTGTCTTTGATAATCAAGGTAATCCTTCGTTTAATATTTCTCTTGGGACTATGATATTCGATTTAGGGTTTTAGGTACTGAGAGTTAGGGATCCTCCTTAAATAGAAGGGTTGTTATGTGCAATTTTCTAGGGTTTCATATCAAATGGTTTAAATAGTTTATGAGATCACCTAACAGTTTAGTTGACCTTAATAGAATGTTTCTTGAATAATTCTACCGACATGGTTAAAGTCAGTGACATGTCTCTAATACCACTTGTTAAGGAATAATAGGAATCCCCAACATTTCCACAATTGTATGATATTATCTATTATGGGCATAAGCTTCTCATGGATTTACTTTTGGTTTCACCAAAATGAAAACTTAGATGATGATGACATATCAGCACAATCCACCTCAGCAAACCAATCACCTCCAGCATGATGAGAATATACACACAAAGATGATTCCCACGGAAGCCCACTAATTGACATTAACAAGGCAACAAAGCAATTATAATTACCATACATAGCAGGTGGTATATTAGCCTTATACAGCAGCTCACAGTTCCCTTATACAAGAACTCTAAATTGGAATGTTTCTAAACAATGGAAAGTGATCAGCCCACCAAATCATTATGTAAATGCAATTCTTACCGTTGAGATTGCTGACTATTAGGGCCAGCTAAAATCTTGCACTATTTGTACTTTCTTTCCTTTATTGAAGAACCCCTTCGAGCGGTATTTCGTAATGTATATAATCACCATGGATCAAGATCAGAAGGATAGAGAATTCTACTAAAATTGTCTTGTTGGTCCATTGATTCTTTTATTACAAAATACCTCATACCAATTGAGATATTGTCTCTTACTTATATACTCATGATCTTCTCTGGTCTCATCTAACTAATGTATGACTTGGGTCATATTCCTAACATTAATTTCTTCAGTTTAATGCTTCCCCATGACATGCTAACTCTATTTTTTCAAGGTTCCAATGACAAGCTAATTATGGGTAGCTAGGATTTCATATGTTTGGTAGCAAAAGCGTTAAGAACTATGATCTATTAGAATCACCAACATGCACATGTTTTTTATCAACACATTACTTATCTCCACAAAAGTCGGAGATTCAGACCTATTAGACACGAACCGATAATATTTGCCACTTAAACAGTATACTTAGCACCTTGTCTATATAAAAACACATACACACATTAATTTACAAATGATTTGTGCATACCTTGAGGGATTTATGGAAGTGGAAGCCAGGAAAGTTGATGGGCAAAGAGAAGAAGCCAAGTGAGATATCATAAAATAAAGCCTCCATTTCTCTCATGCAAGAGCCTATAGAAGTTGAACCCATAAAAATATTCCAAATAACTTTGAATGTCAGCTCCTTTATCTCAGTCAACAGCTCCATTGGCCGCTGCATGCTTGCCCACTCCTCCAACCCATCAATCACTGTCTCTTCAATATGATTGATGTACATCTCCAGTGCCCTATGGCCGCTAACCGGCGCTGTCGTCAGCCTCCGGAGCCGCCGGTGCTCCGCCTTCGAGACTCGCATTAATGACTTTCTCCCAAATAAGGTTTTCATTGTCGTGGGAAAACTCGGTACGAATTTAGTTTCATCGGTTAATACTTGACGACTAATTTTAGGTGTGCAGACAAGTATTGTTGCTCTACCGAATATGTTTGTTTTGTACATGTCAACTTTTCCATATCTGCTCCTCTCATCCAGAAAAAATAATAATAATAAAATAGAAAAGATTAGATTACAAGTTTGGTTTTCGAGTTTTCAAGTACTAAGTCTTTGTAGATGATGGTTTTTAGTAGATCCTTGAACTTTTATTTTGTATCTATGATCTTGTTCTAATAGTTTAAAAATTTTCTAATAAATCTAATTTTGTATCTTATATAGATCAAATTTATAGAGGTTTTTCATGTTGTGAAATTGTAGGACTAGGCTGTTATTCTAGCGTAGGAATATAAGAATTTGTTTGGAGTGATTTTAACACATCAAAACCACTTTTGTCATTGTCAAAATTACTTCTTTTTCCGTTGGCCATGTCTGACAAATTAAGAAATTAATTTTAGGAAAATTTAAAATCACTTTATATTGATTTTTATGGTATCACCTGGATGACGATTTTGGAAAAATTATTATACTTAAATCTCGTTTTTCAAAATTAATAATTTCTACCATCATTCTCAAACACATCCTAATTTATCTTTTTAAATATATAGCTCGTGGGGATATAATCAACCACCCACAAATTCTCTTGCATTTACAGTGATTTGAATCTCTATTCTCTTATATAGTTTCTCAAAGTAGCTAGCTTCTATGACGATTTATTTTTTCTAGTACAATACGTGGGACGAGAGATTCGTGTTAGGATGAAAAAATAAAAGACTTAAAAAAGATTTATAATAGATATGAGTTACTCCTCTCACTATCAATTGATTTTGAGATGAAACATATGTGTATTAACAATTCGAATGCTCACGGCCATAATCCTTTAAAGTCAACTCTCTCCGATCGTTTAATCATATCGTTATAACTATACAAGACTAAATGCACTAGATCAACAAAGCCCTTTCCAAAGGCTTTTTGGGAGGGCATGCGCAGAATAAAATCTATTTGAAATTATTATTTACAAGTAAGACGATGGATAAAAAAGAGACAGACCTGGTAGAAAATGTGCGAATGAAATTTTCAGGTGAACCGATAGTGAAACACTTGATGAAGGACAAAGTAGAACCGAAAAGTGGCCAATCAAGATCACCAGGAGGAAGCTTGGCCCATATCTTCCCCAACTTGACTGCATAATACCAACCATTTAATCTCTTCAAAACCCCAAAAACAAAAACAAAGACTCCAAGAATCAGCAGCAACCAATTT